TGTTTCTAAAATTACTAACGTGAGGGTGTTGCTGATGAGATTTTAAAAAAGAGAAAAATGTCCCCGTTGGGAAAATGTAATTTTATCCTCTGGGCGATATAATTATGAAAACTCAGTCATTCTTCAAAAGAGTATTTAGAACTTAGGTCCCAGACCTTAGAACACTTAGGGCCCTCGAGATACCTCCGTCCACGTCATTTTAGAAGCGAGTCCTTGGGGTTTCAGGCGAGTGAAAGGACCTGCCTAAGGTCACACAGCTAGTTAGTGGTGGGAGCAAGACGAGAGCACAAACCACCGTTCCGGGCCGCCTTCTACCACAGCTGCTGTGCTTCCCATACACGGATGTTCTTACGTGCACAGCCAGGCCCTATTTAGAGTCTACTTAGAATCATGGCTGTGTGGTGTACAGGAGTGGTTTTGTTAAAAAGTTCTACTGCAAGAATAAAGCTTTGAAGATTAGGTTAAAAGGGATTGTTTAACTATCTGGCTCTAATCCTCTCATACAGACCGGTCGGTTACATTTGTCTAATATTGCATCTAAGCAGCTTTCCTGAAGCAACTGCCCATGTCACTAGGAATTAACACACATCTATCCCCTTTGAGATAAAGCAAAATACAATCTTACAAAAGAGTAAACATTTTATTATTTGTACACGAATCAGGTTGGTCTGAGGACAGGCGAGCATCTGGCTAACTCATCAAAGTAGCTTTAAGCAACGGGATGGGGGTTGTGGTCGTTCATTGTGACATCATTTATCTACTGGCCAAGCAGGGAGAGGCCTCCGACCGTGAGGAGCAACGTGCTGGGGGCATCAGAAGGAGGGAATACAGAACAGCCACAGCCTCTTTTGGAAAGGCAGGGTCTGTGGAGGTCTCCGCAGAAGTCGTCCGCAGGACAGGCCTTCTGCGGTGGGAGGAGCCCTCTGAGAGGGACTGCGAACCGACAGCCTCTGCTGGCAGAGTCTTGTCGGAACAGGATCCGCCCCCCAAACACACACACACACACACACACACACACACACACACACACACGGCATGAGCCCGGGCTCTGGGGGCCGAGGGTGTCACAGGGGCACCACCTGAAGCGTGGGCAGGGGCCCCCGGGGAGGGGCTATGTACTCTTCTTCCCTGAGCAGCCGCAGCAGGATGTTTTTCTTATTCTTGGGCCAGCTGTAGACGTGAGTGTTCTGAAGCCAGGTGGGCACATGCTCCTATGGGAGAGGGAAGGACAGGAGTGAAGGCCTTTAGAGAAACCTGGATTCCAGAGCCCAGACTCAGTTCCCAAACTTCTATGGCTTCCCTTCGTGGGCGCGCCCTGCTGAAGTCTCCTGGGAGTTGTGCTGTTTGGCTTTTGGAAGGGGTTGGCATGTGCAATGCTCCTGGCTTCGGGTGTAAGCTGTAGATCTCATTATGGAAACCACATGTGCGCGGCATTTTCTGTCAGCCTCCCAGGCTACCTGCCCTTTGCATTTCAACGTGCTTTTCACCACCTTCACATAAAAGGGGTAGGACAGAGGTCACGCAGAGTGATGGGAATTCCTTTGTGGCTTCAGAAGAAGTATGCCAAGGCTATGGGCTTAATCTAATTCATTATCCTTTCATTCCAGCGACACAGATCTGGCCTGCAGGAGAAGGAGCCCACCAGGTCTGTGATCAGGCAAAAAGCAGAAACTGTAAGCCGGGGATTGTGAGGGTGCCGATTCAGACTGCCCTCACGGGGTGGACATTCGGTTGGGGAGACAGACACGAATAAGTAAAATACATAGTGTGTTTGATGGTGATACATACTGTGGAGAAAAATAAGCTAGAGAAAGGGGAGAGGGAGTACTGGGCAGGGCTGAAAGGTTTGCAGCTTTAAGTGGAGTGTTTAGGAAAGGTCTCACTGAGAAAATGAGCAAAGACCTAAAAGAGCGGAGGGGGCCCAGCTTTGTGGATGTCTGGGTCCAGCCAGTGCAAAGGCCCTGTGGTGGGGGCATGCCTGGCCTGTTCAAGGAGCAACAGGCCAGTGTGGCCAGAGAAGAGTGAGTGAGAGAGAGTAGGAGAGGAGGTCTGGAAGTAGAGGGACCTGAGTCAGATAGGGCCTGGTAGGTCTTTCTCTGAGTGGATGGGATCCCTTTGGAGCCTGCAGAATAAGCTTTGAAGCAGCACCTGCTACCTGTCACGCATCATGCTGGGTGTGGATGACACCCAGATCCAAAAGACACAGTTACTGCCTTGAGGAGTTCCCGGCCTAACGATGGAATGTAAATGAAAATGTAAAGAAACTATTTTCTAGGCAATGGTGTACCAAAGGGGCAGGAGGTGGGAGCAGTCTGCCCTGAGCACAGGCAGCAAGGGGGTTGTCTGAAGAAGTTTTAAAACAACAATAAAACCAACTAAAAGTCGGTCTCCTTTTCCATCACCATGTTCCCCCAGCCCATCCCCTCCCAACCGCATCCCATTGACTCAAGGCACTAGAGCTAAGAGCGCTCAAAAGAGGAACAATTTAGTATATTGGCAAGGGGGATGAGAGGGCAGCGAATCTAGAGAGATTGGGTGCTAGAAGGCTAAGCAAGAGTTGACTACACAGACAGGTGAGGGAAGGGCACTGCAAGCAGGGGCAACGTGTGGGGCACAGAAACATGAAAGAACATGGCAGGTGTGGGGGCATGCTGAGATAGTCTGGTATGGCCAGAGCAGAGTCACTGTGCACATGGTGGGGAGAGAAGCCTGAGCAAGTGGGCTCAGCCCTCTTCTAAGGGGCCTCATCTGCCACGCTAAGAAAGGTGGATGCGATCCTGGAGTCAGTTGGAATCCACCACACAGTTTCTAAGCTGGAGAGAGACAGATCAGATCTACAATTTGGATGTTCCTCTTTGATGGCAGAGTAGAGGGTGGTTAGTACAGGGTCAAAGTAGACGGGAAGGCCAGTAAGGAGATCCTGCAGTGGGAGCAATGAGAGCCTGGGGCAAGGGGTGGAAATGCACGCTATCGCACGGAGGGGGGTGAGCTTCGGAACCCTAGATCGTCTCAGCTCATCTCTGCCTCCTGCCACATACAAGTCTCAGCGCAGTCCTGACATTTAGGGATCCTCCCGGGTGCAGCTGGGCCTAAGCTCAGGGTGCTGTGGTCTGAGTCTCAAGACATTCATCACACCTCTGCCTTCCCCTTGCCAAGCCTGGAACATGGCTTCAGATGGCTTTTGTCCCCATGCCCCAAACCTGCTGGCATGTTCTTTTGGTGTAAAAACCCTCCTATGAACCACAGCAAAGCTCACTTTGGTCACTGTGTAGATTTAATTCCTGTCATCTACAGATTTGAGAGCTGAACTCTGTGCACCAAAATACGTCTGTGGACAGTCAGCAAAAAAATGTACATATCTTGACTTTTATGTATGAGAGATAAGAAGTATCAGATGAACAGTTTTCTTCTCTCTCATGAGTTAAAATGCAAACTACTTCTTTGTGTGTAATGGCTGTTTGAACAATTAGGACAGCGATGGTCCATCAGATAACACCTTAAAACCGTCCTGATTCACGCTGCTGAGCTGCGTGCTACAACCTGTGGATCTTTCTGGTTAACACTGTTATCTCTAAGGACCGATAAAAGAGTTCGCAAGCTTTTCCATTTAAAATCCCAGATAGCAAGCACACCAAAGCTTGAATTGTAAGGTTTTTTGCTTGCTTATTTCTTTGTTTACCTTCTTAGCATTCGGGAAGAGCACAGGGATGAATCTGAAATTCATGCTTCCTTGTTTTATGAACTCAATCTGCATCTGGAACAGAAAGAATTTGAAGGTTTGATTTCAGGAATGAGGAGGAGGAGTTAATGGCACCCAGGACCATGCAAGTCCCGACAGCATTTTTATTCTGATTTCCTTGAGTGCCACACACTGAGACTTTTAAGTTCTCCCCATTACACATGCATGCCATTCGCTCACTCATTAATCATTTATTGAAGGCCTACTAAAAGTCACACTCTGTGCTAGACTTCGGGTTTCAGGGATTAGGATACCTTCCAGGGTGTGCTGAGCTGGCTTGTATAGGCTCACGAAAGCCAGTTGTATGCCTCCCTTCCTAATTCTGTGTTCAGTGATTTTACACTGGTAGCTTGAAATTGGCCATGATGAGAGTATTTATACCATGGAAATGGGGAAATGCTACAAATCAGGTTTTTTTTGTTTTGTTTTGAGAACCAGGTTACCAGAACACTGCTGACACGATTCCTATCCTTCCAAAGCCAGCAGATTGGTGAGCAGGAAGAAGGGTAAACTGCCAACCACAGGGCACTGTGAAAAGTATAAAATTGCTGTGGAAGCCCAAAATGGGGGCCATCCATTCTACATCAGTGATTTGAAGGGCAGTTACAAGGGAGGTGTCACTTAGATACTGAAAGACAAGAAGAAGTTGGTCAGGCAGAGGAAGTAAGGGATGAAGGGAAGGGCATTCTCAGTAGAGGAAACAGCATGAGCAAATGTCTGGAGGTGAGAAAGAATGTTGGTGGGGCTGGGACCAGCTAGCAATGCTTTGTGGATGGAGCACAGGATGGGCTAGGGAGGGAGTGGGAGATGAGACTGGGGGTCAACTGTGAGCTGCTCTGCCCGCCACACTGTAGGTCACACAGTTCCAGTTTGTTCTGACACCGCGGTGGCCCCCAAAGACTTAGCTGCCAAGAACTCTATCAAACCCAGAATTTTCAAGGTGAAGGGAGCTGGAGTCTTCCCAGTGCTGTGGCCAGCACAAAGCTCTCAGTCATCTGATGACAAGGAGATGAGGAATTATGTGTTCCCAAGTATTTCATCTTCTGATTGATTTTTTTATCCCTGAGAAGTCTTCATTGTGCAGGGGAATAAAAACAGGACAGAGAAGAAAGTGGCAGTGGTGACAGCTGGTTATTGAAGTCACCATAGAAACCCCCTCATAAACACACACACACACACACACACACTCGCACACACGAATGCTCCACAAGGTTTTTTGTTCTCAGAACCACTGTCTTTTAAAATTTAGAGGACCAAAAGCGTAGTTTAAAATGATCCGTGTACTGTGCAACGTGAAAACACCAATCACCAGGAAAAACACGTGAAAGGAAGGGCACAGCGTTTATAAGTTACAAGGGAAGAACTGGATTTAGTCTCTGACTTCCATCCAGGACACTGAATCCGTAAAGTTTTGCTTGTCCACTAGGCCGCCCAGCCGGCTGGCGGCCAGACAGCCGCAGTGTATGCTTTCTCTCCTATTTCCAGATCCGGGCTTTTTGTGAGGTCATTGGCCCGATGATGCCATTACTTGTGGCAACCTCTTCATTGCCTCTGTTCTAGAGGCTTCTGCTGCCTGGAGGGGGCCTGGAGGTCTTCTTATCTGGCCTCCTCAACCCCTCCAGTGATAAGGAAGGGCCCAAGACATTGTTGTCCCCAGAAAACTGAGTTTGGAGGCAATCTGGCTCCTGGCGGGGCACCGTCGGACAGGCTCTGGGGTTGGGCTGTGTTTTACTGCCTGGCATTGCCGCACACCAGCAGAGCTTGACAGGTCCCCTCAGGAACTGGCAGGGACCGGGAGCCCATCCCACACACCAGCTGTCAGCTCCCCGGACCGACAGCCTCCTAGACATGCAGACAGGACATGGAGTGCTTTGGGGCCATGCAGACCTGCAGCAGCCAGCTGTGACCCTTTGCAGGGCCCTGCCCATGGGCTGTCAGATTGGGAGAGGATGGAATGGCGGATGCTTAGCTCCTTATTCCTTGGCCTTATTCTCTGACTTCACCACCCTGCCTTGGCCTTTACTCTGGGTTGGTTCTAATCTCAAATAAGTGGTCGGCACTTGCTAGAAGAGGAGACAGATGGGGAAGCCTCACCCACCCACCCACTCTGCCTTTTTCCTGTGCTCCTGATCCACAGGACAGACCCGGACTTCAGTCAGCTTCCCCTGAGGTAAAGCTGCCCATCTCAGGCCTGCCTGGGTCCTGCCTTGCGCCGCTTACTTACTCTGTCTGGGCCACTTCAGCGTCCTGCCCCATACTCCCGTCTTAGTCTGTGATCCTTTCTGCCCATTCCAGGTGCCTGTGGAATGTTTCAGTTGGAATGGAGCTTACAAGTTCTAGTCCAGTGGATGTCAAGCCTTTTTAAGATCTCAGAATCCTTGGTAAACAAATAAGCCTGAGAAAGGCAAACCAGCTCTGGCTGAGGTGGGGTGGGAGGCCCAGAGCCGCCCTGACCCCCAGCACCTATGGGCACCCAGTAGGGACTCCGTAGAACCATTTGAAAGTTGCAAGTCTAGTCCAGCGTCCTAGTGAAGCGGAACTGTCTCCACAGCATCTCTGCCATCCTGGAAAGCAGGGAGATCACTAGCTCACAAAACAGCCAATTCCAAAGCTGGGTGATATTTTCGGTCAGAATGTTCTATCAGATGCCAAGCAAGCCTACCTTCCTATAAATTTCTCCCACTGGCTTTAGTTTGGCCAGGCCCCATGGTTCAGGTGTGGTGGTGGACTGCTGCTCATCTATCATGAGCTCAGAACAATCCCTTCCCTTGATCTGAGCATCGAGATGTGCCATACACTTCACAGACATTATTTCATTGAATCTTCGCAACAACACTGTAAGTATAAGCGACCCATCGTATGATGAGGGACACAGAGGCACAGAGAGGTTTAGGCAGTTGGCCCACGGTCACCCAACTATACAGGAGGAAGCAGAATTTGAACCAAGTCCATGTGACACAATGGCATGCGTCCTTTCCACTCTGATACTCTGCGTCTAAGTCAGGGGACAGAATAGGACACAGATGCAGGAGCCCGCTCTCCTCACAGCCCTGTCCCCGGCCCCTCTTGGGACTGCCCATTTGTTGGTGAACAACCAAGCCTGCAGAGCACTGTTTTCCAGAGCCCTGGGAGTTAGAGTTCACAGATGAATCGCCCCTTGCTACTGACAGGAACTGAGTCCCAGAGATGGGGTCACTTGCCCACAGTCCCGAAGGTTGCCGGGGCCAGAACCAACATCCCCCACTCCTGCCTGGGGTTCTTCACCCCTCACGGTGCCACCTTCGGTTGGTCTCTAGCGGAGGACGGGCCTTCACCGAAGAAAGCGCCCCTCTGTGCTGCGCTCTCCTCACCACTCACCATTCGATGAATGTACTTAGTATGTAAGCCATGCTCATCCTCGTCCAGATGCGACTCAGCACCTTCCACGTCCTGTTTGTATTTGGGGCTGATTGCTACAATTATCATCACTGTCTTCTGTTAATGAGAGAGAAAGCATGTTTATGGCAGTGTAGAGTGCGGTCCATTTGGTGAAGGCAGGCTGGAAACGGGCCAGCAGGACTGTAAGCGTTCTGCCAGACTGCCGGCTGCAGGGCCGGCTCGTTCTCCGTGGGGAGTGAAAGGCCCCCCCCCCCCGCCCCGCCCCGCCTCGGGCAGACTCCTGCCTCCCCTTCTCCCCTCCGTCTTCCTCGCGGCTCCCTTCCAACGCAGCGCAAACGGCTCTGCGAGGAGCGCTCCTAAAGGCAGGCGGTGCTGCCCACCATCTTGCACAGCCTCCACGGACAACCGTCCGACCGACACCTGAATCACGAAGCGGTGCGGCGTCGCGGATGGAAAGCCCCCTCCCTCCGGCCGCTGGGTGGAAGCTGTCGTGCCTGCGCCTCCGACTGCCCTGCTCGCGCGGGCCCTCCGCACAGCCACGAGGAGCGGCCCCTTCCGCACAAAGCAAACATCAGGCTGCAGACAAAAGGAGAAGCCACAAAGCCCCAGCCTGCTGAGACTCTGTCCCCCACCGCTCGCTCCAAAAGCAGCAGCTGAAGCAGCCCACACGGAAACACTCTGGCAGCAATCAATTTCTATCTTGTTAAAGCACAAAGTGTCCCAGTGGTCAGTAGAGATTCTGTCAGTGGAAAACAAATCACAGGGCTGCGAGTGGGCGCCTGGATGGGTGGGGGGGTCGGGGGTGCGCGGCACGGGCAGCCTCCCCGGAAAGCTCTGGAGCCCGATCCTGCAAAACACTTGGGGTGGCCTCGGATTAAATTGAATTCTGTCGCTCCCACCCTACTCCCTGCCTTCATTTCCTCTTTTCCCATTCTGGTCAAAAAAATTGTTTGCTCTGATTGTTATCAACCACCTGTGTCTGGTTTGACCGTTATTTCCTGCCTGTGCATGTCCACGAGGGTGACCCCATCCTTCCTTTGCAGGTCTCTGCACGGCTGCCAACAAGGGAGGCTTTGTTGGGACTTTCTCAGCTTTGGACTTGGTGGGTTTGCCAGTGCTTCTTTCATAAAATAACTCCACAGGCGAATTGTCTTTTTCACCAGAAAACGAGCTCAGAATTTGGGAATGTACTTACATCTCTAAGGTAGCGTTCCATCCACTTAATGATATCAATGCCTCGGATTCTATCCTCAAATATGTCAATCTAGGAGAAAAAGATGTGGGAGGTGGCTCTTAATGAGGAGCTCTCTCTAGATGCAGAGCAAGAGAAAATACAAGAGACTACATGCATTTAAGATTGGAAAAATTACAAATGATTTTGCAGGGAGGAACATGTAAGTCTAAAAAAACCAAAATACAGTTTTCTTAAAGTGTTCCCTATTTTAACATTAGTAGGCATTTAAGTATTTAATATCCATTATTAGGATATAGTGGTACACATCAAAATGTATCTTTGGCTACACAATAATTGTTTTAAAAATCCGAGAGACCTAGTAGACCAAGTTGGATATAAGCCAGCTATATATATATGTAATTTGAAAGGCTAACATGATATCATCCTGGAACATTTTATTTTATTTTTTTATTTATTTATTTTTTAAAAGATTTTTATTTATTTATTCATGAGAGACAGAGAGAGAGAGAGGCAGAGGGAGAAGCAGGCTCCCAAGGAGCAGAGAGCCCGATGCGGGACTCGATCCCAGGACCCTGGGATCATGACCTGAGCCGAAGACAGACGCTTAACCATCTGAGCCACCCAGGCGCCCGATCCTGGAACATTTTAATGAATGTGTGGGGTGCAAGTACTGAGATACAATTCTGGCACTTTCCTTGCATTAGCCAGGTCATTATTATGGTATTACGTCCAGTTTCGATCTATACATTTAAAAAGGATTGTATGAAACTTGGAGCAAATCCAAGCAACAGTCACAAAAACAATTACTGAGATGGTGGGAAAAGGTTTATGATGAAAGTCAAGAAGCAGAACTCTTGGGCCTTGAAAAGACTGATATTAAATATCAAGTCTTCAAAGGAATATTTGAAGGGGAGAAAAACCAGTTATTTTCTATTTTTCAGAAGACCAAATAAGGCGGCCTTTCTGGGGCTCCGGCTTGTCGGGCAGCCAGAGAGTAATGTGCGGGTGTACAAGGTGCTCTTGCTTAGAAGACGGATGCTATACTAGAATGGCTGACTCGGGGACAGTGTCCTCGAGGAGGGGTATTTGATTCAGCCACACTGCTCTCAGATCAGTTGTCCTAAATGTCACTCCGCCATTTAAGACTGATCGAGTCCTAGCCATTCAGCAAGCTCTCCGGGCCATCTACCTCTTCTTCCTCACGTGTCCTGTCTACTTTACTCCCGGGCACCCCGAAAGCATAGCACAAGCCTCCCTGCTCTGTGAATCCTCCCCACACATTGACTTCCTCGTGCTCACCTCACCCGCCTCTGCCCCATTGTGACCAGTGGTCCTGGACAGTTAACACATTATTATAACATCCTTTCATTTGCTAAATGTCTCGTGTATGTCTGCCTTATCTCTTCATCGTGACTCTACTCTTCCTGTGGAACGAGAAAGTGCCTCGAGTACACCAAACTGTCAGACACGTACTGTTCATCAGGCAAGTTCAGAATATGTTTCTTTACTGATGGAAGATCAAAAATGGAATGGGTTTCCTTTTGGCTTGGATGATTCCTGCTTTAAAATGTCAGATTGCCAATGACCACATGAGGTAATCTTGAGAAAGCTTGTGTGGCATTCTGTGACTGGATCGGTAACCCCCTTCTATTATATGAGACAGAAGCAATATAACATCGGGGTTGAGAAGAAACAGACAGCTGGGCTCTCTTCTTGGTCTACTCTTGGCTTCTGCACTTCCCACTTGTATAACTTTTAAAACATCACTGAAACTCTCTAAGTCTTATTATCTTTATTTGTAATATGTGGTTAACAAACCTACTTCCCAGGATGGTTGTGAGGATTAAAACAATTGGACATGGCAATATCATAATGCCAGGCTTGAAATTAAGTACTCAGTAAATGGTTATTTTAATTGTTAACCCAGCACCTAAATTATTTCTTGCCACTGAGGTGGGCTTTCTGGGAGGCAGAATGTGTTGGATTGTCTTTCCAGATCTCCGCCAAAGTCCACAGCTTCTGTCAGGCCAACTTCTCCACACAGCCACTGTTACAGGCCAAATTGTGTCCTCCCCCTGCCACTGCCAAATTCATTATATGAAGTCTTAACCCCCCAGTGTCTCAGTGTGACTGTATTTGGAGATACAGCCTTTAAAGATTTAATTAAGGTGAAATGGGGTCCTCTGGGTGGGCCCTGATGCAACATGGCTGGTGTCCTTAGAAAAGGAGATTAAGACACACGGAGCAAAGACCCCATGAAGACATAGGAAGAAGGTGGCCATCTACAAGCCGAGGAAGAGGCCCAGAATGAAACCAGTCCTGCCGACACCTTAATCTTGGACACGTCCAGCCTCCAGAACTATGAGGAAATACATATCTATTGTCTTTATAGCAGCCCTAGCAAACCAATACAGCCTCCGTCTTCGGGTTGTCGTAACCACTGTTCCTTTGTCTCTTTAGACCTAGGGGTGGTAGCAACTCCCCGCTTTTGCTAGTCCCAGGATAGTGCTCTGTTCCCTGTGGATTTCTTAAAATTTACCTAGAGCTTTGAAAATAGTCCTTTCATTAAACTCCTTAGATTACCCATTAAGTGGTTTTTTGTTGTTTTTTTTTTTCCACTAAGGGGCTCTTGATGTATCAATATAGTAACTTAGCTGTCCAGGGTGGGGCTCTGTGATTCTACTACAAGGCTTCATAGTGATCAGGATCAAGGACAGACTTAAGTTCTGTCTAAGTAGCCCCTGATTGTTAAGGTCATAAAAACCTAACCTCTTTTCCAGGGGCAATCAGTATGCTTATTTGGAAATGACCAAAAGTAGGATCTTTTCTGAAATGTTGGCCTTATGACCTGCAATTTGATTTTATGTCATGGTTGCCACAGTGCTTTATTTCAGAAATGAGAAATTGAAATGTTGGTTCCTATGCAGTCAAGTTGGAATGTATAAATTGTATGCATTTTAAACTTGCAGACACTCCCATTAAAAAAAGTATAGACTAAAGAAAAAGTTCAATAAAAACTGTTAAATAATGCCAAGCAATCATTAAAATAGACATTTCATTACTAAGTATTTCTTTTTTATCCTTCAACATTGCTATTCATGGTTGTTTTCCTTAATTTTTCACCACTCTCCAGAATTCACTGTCACTAAATGCCCCAAGGGGGCCTCTGGGAAGGAAAAGATGTGATCTCAGTGTTTTAGGAAAGCCAGCCCTTGGAGTGGCCTCCGGTGGTATTTTATTTATCCTACAGAAGAACATACATGACTTTAAGCTGTGCTGTTGGAAGGCACTGCAGGGAAACTTGGGGAGTGTGTGCTTCCTGAGATTCCTTGAGCCAAGATCACAGTGCACTGCAGGGCTGGGTTGTCTACCTCCCCTAGAACTAGACTAGACCAGCTGAGAACCTGGCCGTGGAGTCCTTGTCCGGAGGGCCATGGCCCCATCAAGGTGTGGAAAGCAGGTGGGCACAGTGGGCCTTGTACTTCAGGCCTCACCGCCCAGGGCCCCGCAGAAGGACCCGGTACAATAAGCAGGTGGCCTGGGGAAGCCTGCAGCCTCCTGCAGCACAGGAATTGCAGCCAAAGCAGGTGTGCTTGGTGAAAAAGGGCAAAGGTCCAAAGGGCAGCAAGGGCCCAGGATTTGCTTCAGGCCAGGGGCCAAGCTGCATTTGCGGTCAGCATTAACGCACACTGTCTGGCTGTTCGGAGGTACTCAGAATCGCTCAAAAAGCATGCAAGAAATAAGTGCTGGAGACTCTGGATAGCTTAAAACCTGGAAAATAATTACCTCCATCCATAAGCATTTAGTTCATAATCCCATAACTCAAATAATATAGTTTGAAACCTCAACAGTTATTTATATATATTTTCTCCCTTTGTTTTTCTTCTCACTGTACTCACTTTAATTGTTCAGCCTTCTCTTGGGATAGAATACTTACTGCAGTTTGGAAGCCATTTACCAACAAGAAGTTCACGAATTTCACCACCTCCATGGCTGTGTCCATAGAATAGGTGATAAAGACTTTCCCTAAGAGAGATTTTTCACATTTATTAGAAACTAGTCAGATTATTCTATTCCGAACACTTGTAAATTGTATGCGATATCTTTTGTCTTTCTAGAATAATAAAGTGAAACTTTGGGATGGGGGTGGTCTGAGGGCTTATGCCGGCAGCAGCTGGGAGAATTGCTGTCCTCAGGACATAGACGCGCAGACCGCAAGAGGCCAAGAGGCAGGGGGTCTGTCTAAGGGGGGTGCAGACTGCCCAGTGTGCAGGGAAAGAAGAATGCTGGCAGCCTGAGACAAACCAAGGAGGTCTGCTGAAAAACTACGTGAGGCATTAACAAAATCCATCACCCAGAACCTCAGGTCCTTGAGATCAGGCCACCTCCTGGTTTCTTAGAGACACTTGGCACTGTGCCTAAGGAATACTCTTGCAGCAGGTCAAGAAGCCGAACTTTGCTAAGGGGCCACCCAGCAGTATCCTCTTTTGATCTCACGATGCACTCTGCTGCCCTGAACTCTTGCTTGACAAGAGCAATTACGGGAGAGGGAGGAAGTGGCTCCTTACCCCCTCCTGCCCTTTCTCCACTCACTGGTGGGAGAAAGGTCAGGCAGTTGGGGTACATGAAAGCAGAAATGTTACAGGAACGTCAGCGGCTTGAAGGACAGATGCCACCTCTGGGCATCCAGCATCACTGACTCCCTGCCTCCTCCCTAGGTCAGCCTGGAGCCACCGATGGCATTGTGCCCATCAGCCTGACCCAGTCAGGACACAAACCGATGTTTTCTCAGGCTAAACTCTTGTGGGAAATTATTTGGCTAGCATGTTAATGTGACAGATGAATAATCTCTGTGTGTTGGCTTTTAGTCTGGAATGGACAGGCTCAATCTCAGGAAGTCCCTGGGGCAGAGAGTGGAGAAGAAAGGAAGGCTAGAGAGAAAATATAAGTGCATGTGTATTCATCTATGTTTGGGCTCTGGTTTTTCTTGAAACAGATATCTCAAATAGAAATGTGTACAATGGTGATATTGACTCATTTAAACAGCCAGGCATATTGATAGCACTCAATGTATCCTTAACACCTACTATTCAACCAACTCCTGTGTAAGAATTTTAGGACTCCTTTATAGACTATAGTAAGATAAATATGATCTATAGACTGACATCAGGGTTCTATCCTATGCAAGGCAGCATCCATTCTCCAGAAATAGGACTAAAATGTGTAAGATTTTAAGAAGATTAAAAAAAATTTTTGAATGATAAACAACAGTGGATCTTTACCATAGAAATCTTCTGGAGTCCTAAATGACTAGCAAGCACAGATTCCCTGGATGGGAGTCAGCAAATGCAAAAGGCTTGATTTTCATGTTTGGTTCAAAGAGGCACCCAGATTTGTAAAGGGCTTCTTAGAATTACCTGAGCTTCTCTAGCAAGCACAACAGAATATAAGAATTTCACAAGTAGTGGCTGCTTTTGTAAGATTTCTGGAACTTACTGTCCTGACTGACCTTAACATGAGACCGTTTTGGTGATATTTCAACATTTCTGGTTCTGGCTGCAAAATATGGAAAAAGAATCATCACCTGACACTTAGTCGAATGTTTCTTTAAATAAAAGGCTTAGTTTGCATTTGGTTGTAAAGCAGTATGGAGAATGTGAGACCACTTTTTCCAAACAAGATTGCTCACTCCTACAGGAAATGACCTCGTTCTTGATGGCTGCGGCTAATTTATGGCGAAACGCTAGGTCCCTGGCCAATACCACATGGACATCCAGTCAGTTTACCCAGGGACGAGTCCCCTCACGAGCATCATTTAGAAGAGAGAGGCATTGGGGTTGTCACTGGAGCGTATGCTGGAGAAAACCCTGTGGTAAGCATTTTGTGAGGATTGCTGCTAGTGTCAGAATCACTAAAAACACTCATACAAAATGCTGGTTACTTTTTTTGGTGAAGAGTAAAGAAGTAAAATTTATTTCACTGTGTATATGAGAAAAACCCAAGATTATGGGTGAATAATCATCAAGTACTCTGAAAGTATAAGACCTGACAAAAAGAAGGAAAAACAACATTGCAAACAACTTACGTAATTCTTCTGGCAAACTGCTTGTTTTCAGAGTCCCTCTGGCTGGAAGGTTACTAAGGGGTCTAGGGACAGCAGCTGGGGATGGAGCCTGGGGACCTAGGGCTCTCAACTCTGCAGGACACTCCAAGGACTCCTCAGGAACTCCAGCTCGATGAGGTGGCTGGTTATACAGTTGGTCCCTGGAAAAGAATACATTTATAGTCAAATTTTCGTTTTGTACAAAGGCAAACCTGGAGGGACAGAAAGCCTTTGAGATACCAGTGAGCTAGCTCTCTCCTCTGCCTCTGTTTCTTTTCTGAGCCAGAAGGATGAGGGTTGCTTCATTGAATTTGAGTCAATAAGTAATTCGGCTGGCTGCCACATGTAAGGACCCGTGTTAGGGGTCGAAAGAGGGAGCTTGATTCGATTTCTCCATTCAAGGACTGTCTAATTGGGAAGATAAGTGGTATGCACAAGGCAGACATGGTCACCAATAAAAGAAAGTAGTATAATGCGTGATATACAAGGTTGGTGTTATAGGCATTCAGATAAAAAGGCAGGACTTTTAACTCATGATAGATAACATTTAATTATGTATCAAAAGGTAGAAAAGGCCTTGCAGGCTTAAAGTATTCATGTTGTTGCTAATATATGGATGAAAATCTGATTTTGAAGACCCTTTAGAGAAGTTTCTACCACATCGTTCTATGGCACCTTTCTCATTTTTTTGGTCGCCAGTATTCCCATGAACGTCGTGCTGAGAACCGCCAGACGCACTCGTGGGAGATTTGGAAAGCCGAAAGAAATGGAAGCCATGCTTCAGCCACTTCTGCGGCTTCAGTTGAGAAGTGCTGCCGTGAGGTGCTGAGTTCCTCAGGAGGCATCCCAGTGTCCCCTTACCAGCCTCCCGAGTCAAGGTGAGGGCGGAGGCGTCCATTTTGGACCAGTGCAGATCCAGCAGGTGCAGAATGGATCCGATCGTTGCAGTGGTGGTGGCTTCCTGATTCTGGATTGTGCTATGGCAGCATGGCCTCGAATGGAGAGTTCTCTGGCGGCTTTCTGATCTTCTGCCTCTCTTGCTGTGATGGAGGAAGCAGCTTCTTCGGCGTCCCACTCTGAGGTGTTGCTCTGGGATCTTTCCTGGAAGCCTGGCCCAAAGCTTGCTCCTCCAGCCTCCAGCAATTCTGTAAGCGCCCACTCCCCTATGTCAAATCCCTTCTGCTGAAAATAACTAGAGTTGTTTCTGGTTTCTATCACTGAATCCTGTGGGGGGCTAACACTGTGTCTGTAATGTTTTATTTCTTAAAAAAAACTCTGAAGGACGTGTGGCAATATGTTAACATTTTAAAAACCTAGGGAGTGGGAACATGGATATTTGTTATTTGTTGTAGGTTTGAGATTGTTTTATATTCTAAATTTTAAAAACTGTTTTGATTTCCAAATTGATGTGTATCTGCCCAGTTTTTTTATAGATTATTGCATATGCTTATATTTTTACCCAAAAGAGTAAGAAAAATTTTGAAAGTCTTATGCAACGGGATTTAAAATAAAATTACACAGAATCTCAAGTGTACTATATTTCTGAAGTGTGAATGTTTGAGGAAATTATTTTTGTTTTAGATTTTTACTAATAAATAGAAAAAAAATCCCTATAAAATATGCCCTCATCTAATGGGGACCCAGTTCCATATCCTTTTTGCATTAAATTCCTTTATACCAAAAGTTGCTTGGTTGTTATAGAAGACAATTGCTCATTTGATTAAAAAAAAAATGTTAAAGCTTTGGTAATGTCAAAAAACTTCCATGTAAAAACAATATCATGGCTATTAATGACAGAGTAAAGTTTCTGTGTCAAGGTTTGCTTTCAAATTTATCACTAAGAGGAGGATTAGCTTCATTACCTGAACTTATTTTTCATTATCCTAAAATGATAAAATAAATACAAGGAGACCATAGCAGGCTTAAATTGATGTTACCAAAGCAATTCCTCTGTACTAACTTCGCAATTCTTCTGTAAATCTGAAAATATTTTGAAATAAGTGTTTATTTAGAAAATTATCATTGCCTCCCCTATCCAATGCCAGTGGACATGTTTCCATAAAGATGCTTAAGTTTTGTTTGTTTTCTTGACTTGTAGATATTTCTTATGCAAGAGTACTTACTTGGTTGTAAAATCACATTTTCCTGATTTCATTATTTAAACTCCATGCAATTTTTTAAAGTTTATTTATTTAAGTAAACTCTACACCCAACATGGGGCTTGAAGTCACAACCCTGAAATCAAGAGTCGCATGATTCTCCAGTGGAGCCAGCCAGGTACCCCAAACTCTGTGTAATTTTGTTCTCAAAAAATAAGGGCTCTGTCAGGAAGGAAAATCTGAGAATGTATGGGCTTTTGAGGAAAGGGGGAAGCAGGCACGTGCCTTATCTGCCATCGTAAATAGAATGCGCTTTTCTTCTTTTAATGAACTTTCTGAGCTAATTACCAACTTCTGCATTTCTGAAAAATCTGCTTCAAAAGGACCTTTGTATCTCATTCTATTCTCAAAACAGAATGTAATTTTGCTTTGAGTGATATATAAAAATTGTGCTTGAGCAAGAGCAAACATTTCATCTACTCTTCAATTTTGTCTTAAATTAAGGAGTTCCATTTCTAGGAGTTCTTCCTCTGTATTTTAGATCCATAAATTAAGAGAAGAGGAAAATGTGAAGAAGAGGCAAAGGAGAACAATGAGGGGAGACATGACTGAAGGTTAGACAACTGGTCTGGTGAAGCAAAGCCAGAAATGGTTTTCTGGAAGAAGTATCGGAAAGACCTAATAATGGCGCTCCAAATGTGTGATTGCTTATATTAGAAAAGAAAACAATGGGCTTTTTAAAATTGCTACTGAGAGCTAATTTAAAATTTCAAAGTAAGACATGGGTTTAAACAGGTGTAGAAACTAGGGATATAAGCATGAATTTCCTAATGGTGGAAGTTAGTCACAGTAAAAACAAAAATCTATTTCTGGGCTAAAAGGCCAGGTGACTTGACAGTAAAAGGAGGGGGTGTCCCTTGGCATCTTAAGAGCCTTTCTTTCAAGAGAATTTTGACGAGTCACCAGTGACTTTAATGTATCTGGTGAAGAGATTCTTGTCCACCAGCTGCCATTTCCTCCTGACTTGAAGAGTCTATTCCCCTGCAGGGCTCGGTCACTAGCCTGGGTGGCACACCAACAGAGAGTTGTGATACATCTCGATCCCATTGGCATCATTCTTTTTCCCACTAAAAAATGTCTGAAAGTTGGCCCTGTCATAGTGATACCTCGGGAGCCCTGGGGAGGAGTAGTCTCTTTGTGCGGGCCTCTGGTCTTGGTCCCAGGGGCTGGGGTAGTTCAGGACGACCTTCTGCACAGGGTGCGGGCCCCTCACGCTGGCTCCAGGGACAGGCTGCCTGCACACAGCTGGCTGGACCACTTGCTGGTAGGCTGCTCGAGGGTGGTCGTGGCCGCCTGTAGGTGAAGACAGCAAAGTGAACAGGGCAGAATGACTCTAGGGCCTTCGTGTGAAAGCAGAAGCTCACTGCCAATTTTTGTCTCCATACTGTGGGTTTCAGATATCAGTTACCACCTCTGTAATGCTTGCCATATTTCTGTACTATTATTTACTTGATTGTTTTCATTAAATTGAGTCATTTTTCCCTAAATAAAAACATCTGTGAAATCACGAGTTTGGTGTTCTAATTGGAAAGCACAGAGCTCCACACAGGCCTCTGTTTTAATAAGATACTTAGGATAATCCAACCACGCAAAACTCTCACACCACCATTCTGACCATAATTTTCCAAGTTTCTAGAATCTAAGGCTAGAAGTTATCTCCATGATAGATACAGAATCGCTACTCTCTTCTTTCCTTCCCCCAAGGGGACACAACACACACATACACACACACACACATGCTCACACATGCTCACACACACATATACCATTCCCTTAGGAAGAAGTAAATGAATGATGAAACTTGGCTCATACCTCTGGGAAGTAGCTAACCGGCTGGCAACACCTCCCAACTTTCTTGACGTTAAGCGTCTTCTCTTGTTAAAGCCTACATGCACTTGGGGCCACGGCAGTTAGAAAAGGGCAGGCCCCGGGGCACAGCCAGGGCTGGTGATGACTTATGTGCATGTGTAACCTACAAGAAAGTGGGTCCTAGCCAGGCCCAGGAGCAGCAGGGTCCCCAGGGAAGAGGGGCGGCCTGCCTGACCAGGTGAAATAAGAGAACTGAAGGACAGAGGAGGGATGCAGGGAAACCAGGCAGGGGGAGTCAGGAAGCCCCTCAGGGACCTGCCCAGGCCCCAAGGGGCTCAAATGGGAAATCTAAGCCGTAAGTGTGCAGATGCACCTTAGGGATGGGTCTAGCCTACAGAGGGGTTGGAGAGAACTGAGTGGATAAACTGCAAAATAAACCATGAGTACCTCCTCACGATCCACGCTCCGCCACCTCTGCCCAAGAAGCTGGGTGATCAGGAGGCAGAGCTGGTTACAACGAGAAGGAACCTTGTTTTTCAAAACAACATGTATTGGTCTTTATTCTTTTTCTGATAATAATAATAATAATAAGAAGAAGAAGAAGAAGAACTATAAGAATGTTTGCTGGGGCGCCTGGGTGGCTCAGTCGTTAAGCGTTTGCCTTCAGCTCAGGTCATGATCCCAGGGTCCTGGGATCGAGACCCGCATCTGGCTCCCTACTCAGCGGGGAGTCTGCTTCTCCCTCTCCCACTCTCCCTGCTTGTGTTCCCTCTCTCACTGTGTCTCTCTCTGTCAAATAAATAAATAAAATCTTAAATAATAATAATAATGTTTGCTTGCTGTGAAGGTAGGATACATGCAGGAAGGTAGAGCAAAATAAAACTAGCAAGCAAGCAAGTCACAGACAAGGTAGGTTGGAACCAGAATGTGGGGGGGTGAGAACATGGCTGGGGATTTTATTCTTGGTTTGGCAGTCAGCAGCCCTGGATGTTTTCAGGGGAACAATAGCCTCAAGTATAGACAGAAACCAAATAATGTACATCTTCACTGCCTCCAGGTCTCCACTGCCTGACTCAGGCAACTTGGCTGGGTGACCCTGGAAATGTGGCCAAGCCAGTCTCTCAAGCATGGTCAGGTTCCCTGGGTTCAAGCTATTGTCTACTTTGACACAGGACACCAGCCAGGTCCTTCCTGTCACCTCTCTAATCCAGGCTGTCTCCTGGCCCTGCCCATTATGCCTCCCTGCAACTGCTTAGGGTTGGTCTTGATGTTGGGGGCTTAGGGAAGGGGAGGGGGGTGAAGAGATGTTCCTGGATCTATCTCAGCTCCCTGGCTGATAAAGGAGACCAGGACTTGGAGAGCACCTCCACGAATGGGGACACAGGACTGCACGACAAGATATACCCCACAGATTTTGCTCTTACAGCCATTCCGGGGCAGGTCACATATATTCCAAGGGGTCCAATGGCCAGGTAGAATTTCAGGACAGGGACGCCTGGGTGGCTCAGTCGGTTAAGTGGCTGCCTTCGGCTCAGGTCATGATCCCAGGGTCTAGGATCGAGCCCCGCATCAGGCTCCCTGCTTGGCGGAGAGCCTGCTTCTCCCTCTCCCTCTGTCTGCCGCTCTGCCTACTTGTGCTCTATCACTCTGTTAAATAAATAAATAAAAATCTTAAAAAAAAAAAAGAATTTCAGGACAACAGGGCAGGTTGTTACTACTGCTCCTTTTCCCTAGAAAAGGGAAAAAGTACCGCGGCCATCAGGTCCCCAGGTGGGGGCCAGCCCTGCTTTTAGAGGAGGCTCGTATGAGTGGACCATTTACAAAACCAGCTGCAGCTACAACCCTCCGGAGATCTCCCCTTGCACTTAAAATCCTCCTTGCATGATTGGGTCCCTGCCCTTGACCTTAGCCCCTTGTATGCTCTCCCAAGCTCACCAAGCCCCAGCTACCCTGGTCATCTTTCAGCTTGAATACCCCAAGCTTGTCCCTAACTCTGGGATCATGAGATGGCCATCCTCTCTGCCTAGCATGTTCTCGCACTCTATCTTTACAGACCAACTTCTTGTCATTCTGGGCTCAGCTCCCACACTAGCCTGTTCAGAGGGGCCCACCCCCTCACCCAGTTGCCTTAATCTATCCCCCCGATTTTATTTTCTTCATAGCGCTTATCGTGTGTATGAGTAAGCATGACTCTTGTCAACTTTTGGTCTGCCTTCCCTACTAGCATCGAAGGTCTGTGAATGGAGATTGCATGCTCTCAAAGCCAATTTCCCACACCCAGAAAAAGAGAAGCCATGAGACCGGCTACTTATCTGCAGTCCACTTTGGTCTTTTTTCTCCAGTGTCTCCCTCCACAAGTAGAAAGGAGAAAAACAAGGTAAAAGAGGAGAAACTTTGCCAGTGGCCTTGAAAGTTTTTAATGTTTGCAACCATTTTTGCTTCCCATATCCATTTATAAGTGGCTAATAAAGGTTTTATTTGCTTTAAAAGGACCACCAGGCTCTAATCATAGGGTTTGTTTCTTTTCCAGAGAGCGGATGTTAGCGCTCTTAATCAAAAGCCTTTGAATCAAGGTCATGTGATTTCTAACAGATTATTTCCCGCACAACATGTTTTTGTCTCATAGCAACAAATCATGTCATTAAAATCACTAAGGCATGTGGGCTAAGGTTTGATTAGCTGTAACTTTCATTTCTGAAATGGCCACCTGCGGTAAAAACCTACACCGGTTTCCGCAAGCAGATGAAAATGATCCACCTTACCAATTTTTAAGAATTGACAATAGAGTCCTCTATGCTGTGCTTTGATTGGTTAAAACAAAGAAATATTGAACACCAGAGGGTCAATCAAAAACAAGCTTTCCCTTTCGTGAGTGAAATTTGGTTGTGTGGAGAATTGGCTAAATGCAAACGTTTATCAGGTAAACGAGGATCTTTTCATTGCTCACGTTTTAATCATTCTGTTCCATGATTTTGACCAAACCTTGCTCGTTTAGTTGGGTACTCTCTATAGAATCATGGCTTACGTTTATTGAACACTCGCTACATGCCAGATACTGTACTAAGTTTCTTATTTGGGATTATAGAGTTCAATTTTCTGTTTTCCTAAAGAAGTTTAACTTACAATAAAATCCAAATCCCTACCCTGGTCCTTTCATCCTTCACCTTTTGGCGTCGCTCACCTTGCTCCAGCCCCGCTGGCTTGCTTTTGGTGCCTTCACTACACCGAGCTCCTTGCTTCCTTCGCTTTCTTATCCTTCAGATTTCAGCTCAGATGTGTCCTTTTAAAGAGGTCTCCTCTTGCCATCCTACATGTCTAACACCCAGTTTCTTCTTGCATAGCACTTAGACCTTGTTGTTTTGTTTGCTGATCTCTCCTGTCTGGCTCTCTAGGAGACTGTGAACTCCATGGAGACAGGACCACGTGTGTTTGAACACTGAACACCCAGTGCCTAGCATAGGACTGGGGAAATATTTGTTGGATAAACTGAAAAATGAATGGACAAGTTCTGTTGCCAAGTCCCACTGACCTCCCTCCTTTCCTTCCCTCCCCTCTTCCACAAGACCGTGAAAGACGGCCTTTCCAAGGCTTGCTATCACAAAGGCTGTACTCATGATTAGGGATTACTCCTTTCCCCAGGAGGCAGGGGACAGAAAGAACTTCTTCTTATTCATTCAACAAATATTTGTTGAACCTCTCTTGCTAGCCATGCAGTGAACATAGATAAATAGGATACAGTTTCTTTGAGTAGCTCAAAATAGATAAAGAGAAAATCTGTGTGTCTGTGGGTGTCTGTTTTGAAACACAAACCCACACTCGTTGGTATGTGAGAAGGGGAGGCGTGCAAGTCGGCAGTCACCTACTTGGTAGACTTAAGAATTACTGCCCAAAAATATCTCCCCCACTGACTTGTCCTCAGTGCCTAAAATTCCATCAAGAGAATTTATTCTGTAGGAGCCTGGAGGATAGAAGGTGGTGGATGATGGGACAAACAAGTGATTTGTGAGCACGGTAACTCCTCAATTCTGAGGCAGGGTTAATCACAGAACAAAAATACAAATCTTGCACATTCATAAATGGGTGCCCAGAACTGTATGTTATTTATCAATCTTATGATCCTCTTGGCCTGGGTACACACGGTCTTCATGTTACTAGCCTTTTACCACTTGGAATTTGTAAAACAAATCCTAAACAAGGTTTTCCACTTACCAGTCAAAACATTCAACGTTTTTCTTCCTTATTAAGCATGGTATTACAAAAGTATGAGAGAGAAAATAAAATCTGATTTTCAAGTTGTCAAAAAAGCATGATGATACAACGCAATCAGTTTGGCCAGGAAACAAAATGGCCAACATAAACTGTTACCGGAACACCCACAGCTGTAAGCAGCTGTGGTTCCTGAAAGGCAGCTCCTTTCTTTATCATTTCTTCCATCTGGGTTATTTTTTCCTTACTTTTAATTATGCATGCACTCCAGCATACAAATAATCACTTTTTTGGGTTTCTATGAGTAATAGTAGGCATATGCCCACAGTTTTATTTTATTCGGTCTTCTTGGTAGAGAAAGCGAACATTTGAATAGTAAAATAAAGGCTCTTTAGATTTCATACATTCTTTTTTTTCCAAGTGATTTGCATCATGGGTTTTATTTGATTGCACAGCCATGATCTCCATTTTGGTGACCTTCAGTGGAAGGATTCTGAGATAGTAAGAGGCCAGCTTCGCTGGGGGACTGGTTGGGGGTAGGGGAGAAAACACGGGCTTATTCAACTTCTACTTACTCTCTACTCATTTTCACCTGCTTTGAACTTTTTCTTTTACATAAAAGCGGTGACAAGTATTCCTCCTTTAACTTGCAAAGACGAAGGTATGCCATTTGCATGGCGATCATTATTTATTTATATTTTCATTAACGGATGAGGAACTAATGCTCTTGTAAAGCCACGTAGAACCATGTAGCCATGGTTTCCAAGCACACGAGCATCCCTTAGGTGAACAGCTCTTTTGAAGTGGTTTTGTTGGCAATTAAGTGCTGTTATGGTCCTGACATGAAACTAAGCATTTGTACACCTGCTTTGAATGCTTAAAATCTGTGCCAGCCGGAGGGATCTGGAAGGGGAGGGGCGCTCTATAGGACCAGGCTGCAGGACCCATGTAAGTAATAACAATAATAACTAAGAACTGCCAGTTGGGGAGGGCTTCCATTCCCAGCACCTTCAGTATATTATCTCATTTAATCTTCAGAGTGACCTTCCCGGGAGCCACTGGTGCCAGAGGCCTCATAAAGCTTCCCGGCTTGCAGTGCCCTGAGGAAAAACTTCAGCCCTGGGCTTCCTGGACAAAGCCAGCCCAACCCTGACACTCCCCACCCCCCATTACATGCTTTTGGGAGCCAGGGCCAGGGCAAAGAGGCACGGGGAATGAGGCTGCCGTATGCTCCCATTTCCCGGGATTCTTCTTTCTTCAGCGTTTACTTATTTTTAATTATAAAAATACCTGTTTGCTGTAACAAATTTAAGTATATACAGTTAGAAGGAAAAGTCCCTCTGTCTCTTCTGAATTCCCTGCCCCCTCCACCCCCGATGCCATGATCACTGACAACAGGGCAATCCTTCCAGACTTTTCAATGTCTGGGTTTTAAACACATACAGCTTTTAAAAATAACACATATGGAATCAGCACTGCATCTTGTTTATCCACCTAATCTTTTTTATGTCAAAATGTGTATTTTGTTCTATGTGTAACAGTGGCCTTGTAGTCCACTGTATAAATAAACCACAACTTCCTTATCTGTCCCCTTACTGAGTGGCATTGGAATTGTTTTCCTTTTTACTCTACAACGATGCTTTCCTAAACATCCTTGTTCATGTGTTTTTATAGGCTTGTTTAGTGTTTCTATGGGATAGATCCTACAAGTGCGGCTGCTGGGCCAAGGAAGCACATTTAAAATTTTGATAAATAGTGGGACGGCCTTCCGGAAGATTGTACCAATTGCCACGCCTGCCAAGAACAGGTGGGAGTGTTCATTTCCCCATAACCCCATAACAATGGGTGTCAGCTGAGGATTTTTTCCTTTTTGCACACCTAATTAGGAAAAGGGTAGTTTAAAATTTTTTGCTATATATATACACACACACGTTTCTTAAATTTAGTAACGTTAAGCTTGGTTTCATATGCTTACTGTTTGTGTGTCTTCTGTGAATTAGCCCCTTCTGTCCAAATTCTCTTCTCTGCCTTTCATCACCTCTCCTCCCTCCCAGGACTCCCAGCGGCCTTCTCCTCCCCGCTTCAGTGGAGGGAAATAGCGTACTGAGGGAGGGCAAGGCAACTGATGAGAGAAATCTCATCAGCTGGTATTAGAGACTAAAAGAGTCCCCAGTCAGGGGTGTTTGCATTTTAAAAGAGTCTGCCCAGAGGGGGCAATTTGCACTCCCCTCCAAAGCCTGGACTGCTTGTGGTGTCACTTCAGGCTTCAACACAAAAAAATATTTGCAAGTGGGAAGATCTTTCTGGGATCCTGAAATCATATTGAGTTAATGCTTTCTTTGTCTATCACAATGAGGCTTTCTCCTGTTAGCAGATAAAGGCAACTGCCTGGGACTTAGGATCACAAAGCCCTTACTAAGTATTCACACTTCTACAGATTAATCTAAGGAATTCATCAGCAATGCAGATAAAAACTTACGTACATGATGCTTATCCTCGCATTGCTTACTGGATCAGAAACTTCCGGCTTGCAGTGCCCTGAGGCAATGGAAAGAGTTTCTTTCCATTGTCCAATAACAGAGAACAGCTTAAAAGCAATTTGGTAGATCCATTTGATTAAATACTATGCAGCGTTTTTAAATGATGCCGGAAGAAGTGCACTGAATGTCACTGGGAATTATTTTAAACTTTACATTAAAAAATATATATATATTTTATAATTCAAAACCCCAATAAGGAATGATAAATAGGAGATGGAGATATGAATGGGATTTTTAGGCATATTTCAATTTTGTGAGCAAACATATTGCTGTTATGATCAGAAAAATTATCTCTAAACACAGATAGTAGAATGTTAAAAAGTAGTTGACGGTATTATCCTCACAGAATTATTCCCTTTTAACCTGGAAATCATGGAGAAATAAATGCAGCCCTGAGGCTGCCAAGGTTCACTCCTCAGTGATTCATACTTAAGGAACTCTGCCGCCGCACCCATCCTATTACTGGGCACTTAGAGTGGGCAGCGGCGTCCATAACCCCAATCAGTGACTTCCCAACCTCCAAAACTCAAGGTCCCAGGTTTAGGCCTCCGAGGCTCTTTCTCCCCAAGCCTTGCTGCTTCCACAGCTCCTGGCCTCACTCTTGACCTCACAATCGTTCCTACGTTTTTCTTCCAAACATCTTCTAAGTTCCTCCATGACTTAGCTCAAGTGTCCTTCTGGAAACCTGCCCAGATCAATGCCTCCTTCAGGCTCTGTTCCCTTGTGCTCTGCCTGTCAGAACACCTAATGTCAGTATGGCATCTGCTCATGGGCTTGTCTACCTCTCCCTCCAGAACGTAAGCTTTCGTATATCGGGACAAAAATTCCTCTCCCTCCTTTTTTTTTTCTAGATTAGGAATTCAACTGTTGCTCCATTCATTTTAGGAAGCTTTATACGAGGTGTACATGTACAAATACATAAATTATGATTGGTTACAACATTTTTGGTTATTTCTAGAATTTATTTTAAAGCTAGGCATCAGGCCTTTGGTCAGACGCTTTGGTCTGACCATTTGAACTGCTTTTTGTACAGCATTTATTTGCTAAGAAAAATATCATATCTCAAAGCCCTGTTATTTCCCAGCAGCCTCAGCTGCGACTGAACATCAAGAATTGTAAAGGACCTTTTATCTCAATCTGAGACTTTATCACTTTCAGAAATGCTTACTGCACTGATACACATTATTCACCTAGCCACTGATTCAGAAATAATTTATTGAGAGTCTAGTATATGCTGGTCACTGTGCTAAATGCTGGAGAGTTATGGATTAAAAATATACCTTTGCTGGGATACCTGGGTGGCTCAGTCAGTTAAGCACCTGACTCTTGATTTTGGCTCAGGTCATGATCTCAAGAGTCACGAGATCGAGCCCCACCTTGGGCTCCGTACTGGGTGTAGATCCTGCTGAAGATTCTCCCTCTCCCTCTCCCTCTCCAACCTCCCCCCCCCCAACTTCATGCACATGCACACATGCCCTCCCAAATAAATAAATAAAATTAATTAATTAAAAAAATGATATACCTTTGCTGATGTGGAGGGAGAGGTAGACAAGTCCATGAGTAGATGCCATACTGATGCTAGGTGTTCTGACGGGCAGAGCACAAGGGCACTGAGAGCCTGAAGGAAGGATTGATCTGAGGAACTTTCCAGAGGGACCCTTGAGCTAAGTCTTACAAGGTAGTATATGGTGATGGTTGTATAAGTCTGCAAACACTACGATTCATTGACTTGTGCACCTAAATGGGTAAAAGGCGAACCTTACAGTATGTAAATTAGATCGCAATAAAGCTGTTAACAGAAGAGGTACAGAGCTGGGTTAAAACGTTCAAGGAGGGGAACAACATCCCGGAGAGAGAAGGGCAAGCGCAAGCTCTTGCAAGCGTGAAGCAGTTAGCCCGGTTCGGGGGACTGTGGTCCTCGAGGGCTGCCAGAGCGTACAGTAGAGGCAGCGGCTCAAGTCCCCAAAGGAGTTTAAGCAACAGCATCACAAGAGCAATTCAATATTCGGGTAATGGCCTGATTCCAGAGTTTTCAAGACCGTTCTGGGATTTTAGACTGAAGGCCCCCTTTCTTTGCCAAATCTAAGATGGGCAAGAAGCATGCAGAGAAGGAAGAACCCAGATGCCCAAGAATTAAGTCAACAAAAGTATACTCTAGAAATCATTTGGGTCATCTCCCTGCCTGTAGGCAGGTTTCAGTTAAACTAACCGAGACAGAGGAATCTGTTTTCTCCTTAAAGTTTTATAGAGAAGTAGGTTCCAAGGGGGACTGGCTTGGGCTAAGATGCAGCATTCTTCTAGAGCTCCTGGCAAATCCAGCCACACACGGAGAGCCCCAGTACTGGGAAGCAGAATGCCCTCCCTGCATTCTGACCAGTCTGTGCTGGTCTGGTGAAGCGAGGCACGGACACGAGGCCCTTGTGTACTTAGTTACCCAGCCCGGAATGTCCAGAGGAGGTAAAGTTCACTTACACGGCACCTGGTGATAGGGGCCTCCAGGACAACGGTAATGACAGTTCCACTGCGCATGTGCGGGAGGGTTGGGAGGCAGCATCTGTGCGCACGCTGGGTACCTCTGAGGTTCCAACCGAGGGAGCTCCCTGGACCTGAGCGGGCCGGGGAGGTCCTGGGGGTAACACGCGGAGGTGAGGGGCAGGGGCCTTTCCAGCTGCCTGATGCCCAGGACGTCCTGGGGCTGGGAATCATACCCCGTGTCTATGGTAGGCAGATCTGGAGCTGCTCGGTTCCTGGGGGGCCCCGGCTGTTGCACCGTCTCTTGGCTACTGCCCGAGGAGTCTGCTGAGGCATTAGGTAAACTTTGGTCTGATTTGCCTGAGTCATGGCCAGTGTCAGGAGAAGCTGCCGAAAGCTGAGATCCTAGCCATTGATTCCGTTTTTCCATAAATGAAAACTGATGCTCCGGAGGGAGGACTCCAACCACAGACTCGGGCTCATGCTCGCTGGCTGCGGAGGAGCCCAAGGGAAAATCTTTGCCCGGGTCTGGGTGTCTCCTCCAGAAGCTGTCTTCGCTCTCCTCCAGGATTTTAGTGCGCAGGCAGGTGACCTGCTGGGACACAGGCCGTAGGTGATTTGAAAGTTTCAGGGGTGGCTGAGCCTGAGAAAATTCTCCTGAGGAACAGTGAGGGGTTCTGGGCGCAGACAAGCTGTTGGGAGCCATGTTCCTTAGATTTGGAGCAGGTGGTTCTGATCCCTCTTCCAGGGGATAGTCTGGGCTTGGTTTCAGTAACTGACTTGGGTATGGTTCTGATTCATCAACCTCCACAGGAATGCTTCGGTTCATTCTAGTTTCTGGAACAAGAGAAAACATGCCACAGATCATTTCTTGGAGTCCCAGCTTTATGACCTTAAGGGACCTCATTCAAGATGTGGTTTCAATTAGCAGCAGTGTGACACCAACGTGCTTCAAAGCCCCAGTCACATAAAGTTGCTCACTTATTCTCCAGCAAAAGCTCTAATCCTTATTAAGATATTTTTATATGGAAGGTGACTCAAAGGATGTGACTGGACAGTGATGTGATAGATGGTGCAACAGGAGGGCAGATGAAAATCAACAGCTAAGTACTGAGGAAAGAGAAATTATCACGTGGGCTGCTTTGTGCGTGCATGTAGACGTGTAAGACGCGTGTGCAGGATGCACCAGGTTTTGGCATGTTGGTTGCCTTTGAGGATGGAGTTAATCAGGGAGAGAGTTTTCACCTTTTAAACTTTAAAAACTTTGCTGTGTGGCTATTGCCTAATCACACACACACACACACACACACACACACACACACGAAAGATTAAAAAAAAAGAAGAGTGAGTTTTTAAAAAGCACTGAAAAAAGGTCATAGTGACATTTTCCACTTAACAGCTATAGATTGTTTGCAGGACTTAATTCCCTTTGGTCCTATGCCCGCAGTTAGGGTAGCCCTGACCATCTGGTTTGTGATGAGCTAGCAAGGCTGGCCGACCTCGCCTTTAGCCCACAGTCCAGGTAATACTGGTTTTACCTATAAAAATAGAACTCTTGATCAACATGACAAAATGAAAGAGAAAATTAGCCTCCCCTTATCATGAGTTTGGTTGAGATGATGCCCTAGGATACCCAAGCTCCAGGGGAAGGCAGGAGACAGGCAGGGAAAAAAGAGCAGAGGAGTGACTGAAGGCCTACAGAAGGCTCCAGAGCAGGTGGAGGGGGAGGGAGACAGCAAACAAAACATCCCAGAGGTTTGTTCTATGCAGGCCTTGGACATAATACCAGAGAATACGGGTGGTGCTGCTGGTGGGGGATTTTTAAATGCGTATTCTGGGTTCATGCAGAATTTCAACCACAAACCTTTACTGAGGGCTTGCTGTGCCTAAAATCATGATGTACATCAATTATTGCTCTAAGACAAGTTTTGAAAAATATGAGCTCACCTTCTCTTGAGCCCTGGACCCAACCCAATAGCAACTGGACAGCGTGCATTTTAAGATGCTCCCTCTGAGTAGAGGTGGGACCAGCAATTTCCTACCAAATTTATCTTTACTGCCTATAGACAGATACCTCCAACTGCCCTTCCCCACTCTCTGCCAAGTGAACACTAACACTTCTCCTCCCCTCACTTGGTGACAAACTTACCCATCTGCTGCAAACAACCTTTGTACTGTTTTCTGGCACAAAAGAAAACTCTTTTAGTTTCTAATTCCTGGCTGGCCCTCCCTCCGTGCCTCAGGCTCCCTCTTCTCCTGGCTGCCTGCCTTCTAAGTAGCTGTCTAGGTGGTGGGTGCCCCTTGCCCCTGGACTCTGCAAAAAAGAGACCTCATCACCTACATTGATCAGACCTTGTAAAAATGAACAGGAACCTACCGCAAACACAAATATTTCAGCAAATAGCTGAAATAATAAATAATTATTTTTGAATGCTTACCATTGTTTTCCTCTCTTGCCTACAATTTGTCCATAGCTATGAAATTGGATATGCCATACAACGTGCTCTTCAGCTGGTCAGGAAACAAAAGTATTTTCTGAAGGGCTGGCCGAGTGTTGTGGAATCTCCTGCGAGCATCTGTGGGCCCACAGCTGAATGGGAGGGCAAAGAGATGCCCCAAGGGAGTCAACTCGCAAAAGGACTGCATTCTGTTGACTCTTGTTCCATGATGCACGTTCGCTGCCCACACTTCAGGTGCCACTGTTGACATTTTCCCTGGGGTTAAGTATTTCCCTAAAAAGTTGCAAATTCTCTTCTAGCCGAGGAGCCTCCAGGGGCTGGGTGGAAGCTAATGACAAAGCTGACTAGTGGGGTCATCTCACATAACTGAATACCCAAGGTCGATCTTGCGGCGGGAATTCTACAGTTACAACTGGACTAAAAAGGAACAAACGGCCCTGGATGGTAGTAAGGATGACGAGGTAAGGAACAGCCTCTAAGGAAAGCTGTGGGATTGGTAATCCGTAAAAGACAAAACAGACCCTGATGTTTTATACCTGTCACTATCAAGTATTCAAACAGCAAATGACTACTGAACTATGTGTCCAACTCAGTGCTGTGTATCCTCCTTCTGAGGCATGAGCTGAATTAAAACATTTTTTTTATAATAGGTAATACCTACAAGTGATATAAAATTCAAGAGTACAAAAGGGTATACAGGGAATTGGTAATCAAAACTATTTCTAAGGACTTAAAAAGCACCATTCCTACCTTCATGTTACTTGTGATCCAGATCAAGAGAGAAAACTAATGTAGGAAATCAAAGGCCCTACCTCAGGGCCTTTGCACTTGCTTCCCCCACATATCTGCATGGCCTGCCTCCTTTCTCCTTCAGGTCTTTACTCAGCTGCCGCTTTCTCAGTGAGATCGCCCTGTTCGCCCTCTCTAAAATGGTTACATGCCCTTCTCACTCCCTGTCTCTCTTCCCTGCTTCACCACCCTCTCTAGCAATTATCACCATCTTACATACTACAAAATGTATACTATAAATACAAATATCTAATACATGCCTTATTTGTTTATTGTTTCTTTCCTCCCCTAGAATTTAAACTTCATGAGGGTGCGATTTTTGACTGTTGGTCTCATGGCTATATTCTCACCACCTAGAGCTGGTACATAAATATTTGTTGAATGAATAAATTATCGATGCCTGTTTTGGAGAGGGTACAGATCTGTGTAGCTGGAAGGATCACTGGCAGTGAGAATGTCAGGCTCCATGGTGGGTGGCAAGGAGCATTTGTGGGCCAAGTACTCAGAGTTCTTAAAATTATATGGAGGGGCGCCTGGGTGGCTCAGTCAGTTAAGCATCCGACTCTTGATTTCAGCTCAGGTCATGAGATCGAGCTCCATGTAGGCATGGAGCCTGCTTAGGATTCTCTCTTTCCCTTTCCCTCTGCACATTGCCAAACCTCTCTCTTAAGAAAAAATTAGGAGTGCCTGAGTGGCTCAGTCAGGTAAGCATCTGCCTTCAGCTCAGGTCATGATCCCAGGGTCCTGGGGTGGAGCCTCATGTTGTTGGGCTCCTTGCTCAGTGGGGAATCTGCTTCTCCCTCTCCCTCTGCCCCTCCCCCTGCTGGGGCTCTCTCTCTCTCTCTCTCAGATAAATAAGTAAAATCTTTAAAAAAAAAATTATACCACCTGGGGACCTTTCCCCCTTCCTTCCTTGCTTCTTTTTTTTTTTTTTTAAAGATTTTATTTATTTGACACAGAGAGCGAGAGCACAAGTAGGCAGAGTGGCAGGCAGAGGGAGAGGGAATCACGACCCGAGCCAAAGGCAGTCGCTTAACCAACTGAGCCACCCAGGCGCCCCCCTTCCTTGCTTCATCTCAAATATTTATTAAATGCTCACTGAGTGTCAGGCCCCAAGGTGAGTCTGGGCTATGCCTCAGAAGTCCCACCCATGGCAGAGTTGGCCACCACCCTCACTTGGAGAATAAAGGTGATTCTACCACCCAGTGTGATAGGAACATCTGCCATTCTGTTCCAGACAGGGAGCTGGTCTGTTCCTGCACCCTGAGGGCTTCGCCCCACACAGCAGAGGGTAGGCATGCTCACAGCTACCATGTGGGCCCCTCTCAGCTCTAGGCCCCTACCAGAACTGGCAGAACAAACCCTGCCATCCCCTCCATGTCACAGAGAACAATACACACAAATGGTACATCAGAGGGCCATGGGCAGATAAGTGGGTTGTTGGAAACGGCACTTTTAGTTTTGGTCTTTAATGTCCACATTGTAAAAATACTACACATTTTTTAAAAAATCACTCACTATCTCACCACTCCTAATATTTCCATTTTTCCCTGTTTTATTGCAGGGCTTCTCCACACGATGCCCACATGGTTATAATGCTGGCATGGCCTGTGCTCCAGTCCCTAACAGGGGGTGACACCTGGATGGAAGCAGAAAAACCCTGTTTCCTACCATTGCCCTAGAGGAGAAGGCTCCAGGGGGCCAGAAGGGCTGTGAGCCCCAGGACCCTGTGACCCCAGGATCCTGAGCCCCTGGCAGCGTCACGGACGGTCTGTGTCTCCCCAGCATCCTGCCCAGCTCAGGAAGCCTGGGGCCAGCCGGGCCTGTCAGGCCTGGAGGTCAATGGCCCTGTCTACCTCACCTTGGGGCAAATTCCTGGAAGAAGGGAGAGGCTAGAGGCTGAGGGAACTCAATTCAAGGGAGACTCTGGCTCAGAATCTCTTTTTGGGGCTCACGATACAGGTGCTCAGGCCTCCCACCTAGAGATTCTGAGGCGAGGTCAGGGCTCCTGTGTATTCTTGTTTAAGTCCCACAGGTAAACAGCTTCTCTCGCTCTTTACCAAGGGAATGTAATCTGTGCAATTTGGCAGGAACTGTCAGAATTGTTAAAGCTCATGCCCTTTGACCTGGTCATTTCACTTCTAAGAATCTCCTCTGCAGGGATATGTGCGTCCTGTGTGAAATGAAGAGGCTCTGAAGATGGCCAGTGCAGCCTTGTCTGTAATGGCAAAGACTAGAAACAACCCACACGTCCAGAAAGGTTCTGATTTTTAAAACTGTAGTCCAGCCAAACGAGGACTTCTCTGTGTCTTTTTAAAAACGACTGAGGAAGTGCTTTGTGAACTGAGGAGGAACTACTTCAAGATTTATCTGGGAAGTTAGAAAAAGTAAGGAGCAGACAGCATGTAGAGTACGCTACCCTTTGTACAAACTAAGACTGTGTATGTACATGCCATCTCGTCAGACATTTGCAACAGTGGTCGCCTCTGGAAAGGGAACTGGATGGCTGAGAGGCAGGAGGGAGACTTGCTTTTTGGAGCATTTTATACCTTCTATATCTACTTAAAAGCTAGGAAAAAAAAAAAAAAA